TAATCAGCGATGCTTGCCAGGATGATATCGATAAATCTGATATTATTCCTTAGATCAACTCTGACCATTCGACTATTTTTCTTCATTTTAATAGCTCAGACAAACAGGAGGACGGTCCCTCTTTCTGGAAATTTAATGCTATTCTAACCAAGGAAGACGTTTTTGTTACATTAATAAATGAAAGTGTGCCTAGGTGGCTAAATGAATTCGATCAGTGAAGTTACTGATAAGAGACTGTTGTGCATGGGATTTAATCAAGTACAGGATTATACAAGTTTCAATAAAATACAGCAAAGAAAAAGCGCGTTAAAAGAGGAAACAAATGTCTGATATTGAGACCTCTCTAAGGATCTGCGAAGAAAGGTGCAACGAATCACCAACCTTTGAGAATCAAGAGGAGCTTGAAATGTTGAAAACGGAATGTAATTCTATTTAAGAAGAGATCGCAAAAGGCGCCATTATCCGATCAAAAGCCACTTGGTACGAGAAAGGCAAAAAATGGAGTAACTACTTTTTTAAAGCTACAAACGCATAAGAAAGCTAAAAGCTCTGTTCGCAAGGTTTTTAACAATGAAGGAGTGTTAATCACAGATCCTAAAAAAATTCTGCGGGGGATTAAAAATTTTTATTCCAATTTCCGTAAACGTGATCCTCACTGACCATCAGAGGAAATGTTAAACTCTTTTTTAAACAATTCTGGAATCCCGAAATTAACTAATAATGAGGCTCGAACCTGTAATGGAAAATTAACAGTTGACTAGTGTTACAAGAGTCTTCAGCTATTTGAAATCAGCAAGTCACCGGACAATGATGGATTTACAGTCGAATTCTGTAGAGCTTTTTGGCACTCTTTAGGAAATCTGATGGTAGACAGCTTAAACTATTCTTAGGATTTCGGCGAGCTGTCAAATTCCCATAAGGACGGCTATTATCACCTTAATTGAGAAAAGGGATAAAGACAAGCGGGACTTGTCGAAATGGAGACCAATCTCACTTATGAATGTGGACGTTAAAATAGGATCGAAAGCTATTGCTAAAATATTAGAGAATGTTCTACCAAATGTCATACATTACAATCAACGTGTATATGTAAGGGAAGGACCGTTTTTAACACAGTCAGAACGATTGAAGATGTCATGGAATTCTCAGAATTCTCAGAAAGGTATAATCTTGAGGGGAGAATGATTTCAAAAAAGCCTTTGATACTTTAAGCAGAGATTTTCCATTTCGCACTTTATCTTCTTTTGGTTTTGGTCCATCTTTCTGCAATGTATTCATACATTTTACAACAATATCTTAAGTTGTGTCGTAAACAATGATTTTTCTATAGCTACGCAGCCCTTTGCAGATGAAACTCAAATATTGACCCTAGAGAAAATGATGGAACTGTTGGTGTCAATGCTATAAACTATAAAATAAAACCTCAAAAGGGTCTGGCTGGTTGCCATAGCAACCATTCTAAGTAAACCTGTAAAACTTATTTTCTCTTTATGAGTGCAATCGCACACAATTGATCTTTCTTCACCATATTTAAACAAAACTCTTTGGCCCCTTTTAGGTTACCATACCACCTTAAGCCTAGAAAATAGGAATGAAAGTGACTACAAATAAATCTATCTAGATTGGAGTGTGTTTCCTTGATTCCCGTGAGGTTTATGGCAATTTAGGTGGTTTTTAGCTTCACTACTTTGTCCTCTATGTCAGTGAAGCTCAAAGCCGCCTACATTGTCATAAATCGGCCTAGAAACCTCACGGGAACTAAGGAAACATGCACTTGAAGCGAGGTAGGTTTAATTTTTATTCATATTCCTTCGTATTTTTAAGCTTAAGAATAGAACCATTTTCCCATACAAATTCTTATATTTTGATTGTTGGGTAGCCTGGGTACCATCTGTACTAATGTATGTATAAAGGACGCTCATTCGCGAGCTTGGGTCACCTGTGATGCAATCAGGAATCAAATGTTACGATAGCTACTTATGGAGTCCTTGATTGTGAATACTTGTTATTTATTCCCTAACAGTAAATTACAGTAATCTTCGATACTACTGACTTGACCGACTCCTAGTGCGCATGACCGTAACGCAATACAGCGACACTACATCTCTCCTTTCCTCTAAATAATGAGCTAGGTAAAACTTAAAAACGAAACTCAACATGTTACTTCCTAAATCTATCAGTCCTGTTTATGTTCAAACAAGTTATTTCCTTTAAGCAGTTGATCTAAGCAATGTCCAAGTAACACAGTCTTTGAAAAGTTCAGATAATGTTCACGCAATAATGTTCCTTTTCACTAAACCATTGATTTGAGCAATGTTCAAGTAACATAGTCTTTGAAATGATCAGGCACTCGTATTGCTCTTGCTAATCTACGAACTGGGGGTAATTCAACTGGTGTAACTGTAGGTGTTTCAACTGACACATTTCCAGGTGGTGCTACTGGTGCGTTTCTAGCTAGGTTATTCAACTGGTGTAACTGTAGGCGCTTCGACTGTCTCAGTTGGTTCAACTGCTTCTGCTGCATCAATGAAGGGTGTAGACTGTTCTTCCTCGGGATGTACAGGTATGTTAGAAGGCAGCTTTTTAAAGAATGACGGATTTCTTGTTACGGTGTGTTCTGCATTTTGGGCTGTAATCATGCTTCCTTTCTTGTCTGTGGTCTCAAATGGCTCAGGCTTGAAGGGTGTAGACGTCTTGTTCTGCTTTTGTTGCTTTATCAATACTTTGTCACCAACGTTCAGGTCTGTGTTTTTGGCATGGTTGCACTTGTCTGCATACTCTGTCATCTTCTCCTTTCTCTTAGCATCAGCCCGTCTGATCTCTGGGGATGCCTGATCAAACTGCACCAGAGGTAATGTGGACTTGAGTTTTCGTCCATTCAGCAACTGCGAAGGAGACTTCCCTGTGGTGTTACGAGGGGTGGCCTTGTACTGTCGAAGGAAGGTGGACAACTCTTGTTTACAGTTCTTGCCTTGAACGACAGCTGTCCTAATTGCTTTCTCCAGTGTCTTCATCAGCCTCTCCGCCTCTCCATTTGTTCTGGGCCATTCAGGAGTTATTCTGCGATGTGTGAAACCAAGTTGAGTGGCAAACATCTGAAAACTTTCACTATTGAATGGTGGACCATTTTCTGTTCTTACTGTCTCGGGGATCCCTTGCCTGGCAAATATGCTGTCAAGGTGAGGAATCACTGCCTTTGCTGATGTTGACCTCAAAATTTCAACTTCTGGATACCGACTGAAGTCGTCAGTCACGACGAGCAAGTAATCTCCACTTGGAAAGGGGCGACAGAAATCTATGGAGAGCTCTTGCCATGGGCTTAGTGGTAGGGGGGACATTTGCAGAGGTTCGCATACTGGCTTTGGATCAGGGATCGCAGTTTGGCACGGTAGGCACCCTTTGACAACTTCCTCGACCATTCTGTCTATCCTTTGAAACCAGACTGAATCTCGCAAAAGACGCTTGGTTTTGACAATTCCTTGGTGTCCTCTGTGAGCCAGCATAATCATTCGATCTCGAAGCTTCTCGGGAACTATTATGCGGGTCCCTCTCAGAATTACGTCATTTGATACTGAAAACTCCTGCTTGATCTGCTGATACTGACTGACATCTCTTCCAGCCTCGTGCCACTTTTGAGTTGCTATCACTCTTGCTAGACTCAGCAATGCTTCATCAGCTGCTGTCGCATCCTTTACTTCTTGAAGCGTAACGGCATGGGGCACAGCATTATTAGTTACAAAGTTAATATAGGCATCAACTCTTGATAAATGGTTGGAAGCCTGCGATTGTGTGGGATCCGGATGGCGACTCATGTAATCAGCTGGATTGTTTGCTCCTGGGTTGTAAACAACTTTGGTTTTGTATGACTGTAGGCGTAGCTGTAGCCTCTCAACTCGCGCAGTTGCTTTGCAAGTGGGGTTGTTGAAGATTGTTTCTAACGACTTGTGGTCTGTGATAACTTGGAAGGATGACCCATAGAGGTATAGGTGGAAGTGCTCAATTCCCCAGACCNTTAATATAGGCATCAACTCTTGATAAATGGTTGGAAGCCTGCGATTGTGTGGGATCCGGATGGCGACTCATGTAATCAGCTGGATTGTTTGCTCCTGGCTTGTAAACAACTTTGGTTTTGCACGGCTGTAGGCGTAGCTGTAGCCTCTCAACTCGCGCAGTTGCTTTGCAAGTGATAACTGTGATAACTTGGAAGGATGACCCATAGAGGTATAGGTGGAAGTGCTCAATTCCCCAGACCACTGCAAGAACCTCTCTTTCGGTTTGGGTGTAACGGCTTTCACAATCCGTGAGTGAGCGGCTGGCATACGCTACAATGTTTGTTCCTCCATCTGCTGTTACTTGCGTGAGAATTGCTCCCAGGCCGACTGGGCTGGCATCAACAATCAGCTCCGTTTTGAGTGAGGGGTTAAAGTATTTCATGATTTCTGGAGTCGCCATGCTGGCTTTGAGGCAGTCGAATGCATGTTGTTGTTCTGGCCCCACACCTACTTAGCATTTTGATGCGTGAGTCGACGGATTGGAGCAGAGATGGACGCGAAGTTCTTTGTGAAACGTGCGAGGTATTGTGCCAAACCGAGGAAGCTGCGTGCCTCAGTTGCGTTCTTTGGGGGACTGGCATTAATGAGGGATGCGACCTTCTTATCATCTGCACTGATGCCATCTGCAGAGAAGTGATGACCAAAGAAGTCAATGGATGATTGGTTGAACAGACACTTGGCAGGGTTTGCAGTTAGACTGTTTTCTCTCATTCTCTGAAGAACAGCTTGTAAAGCATCATCATGATCGGATTGGTTCTTGCCAAACACTATTATGTCATCAGAAATGTTTCTAACACCGTCAATTCCTTGCAGCACTTCTTTGGATTTCTGA